GCTCTCAGATCAGCTCTATAAAACAAGTGTGCTGAGCACAAGGCCATTATATTGACAACCACAGCAGATCCACTGCCAAAGCATTTTCATTGTTGCGGCAGATGGTGTCCCTGTTTGCGAAGCATTGCAGAGCAAGGTTGTCTTTCAGCACTTGAAATAAATAGCCAAGACACTCGTGTCCCTTCACATCACAGGAAGTGTCAGGCTCCCAGACAGCCTTCAGAGCAGCTTCCCTGAGTCCTGCAGCTACCGGAGCAGGGCCCATGTGAGCCAGCCACTGTTCCTCTTTCCTTGGCTGGCTGTTGTCACCAACTCTACGAAATAATGTTCATCGACCACCGTCTCTGATCTGGATATGGTGACAGGGGCTTCTGACACAACAGTGAGGATTCAGGGCAGTTTCTTGAAGGATATAGATGGATATAGTAATTGCAACAGTATATGATGGAAGCAGCAAGAACCATCTTCATGGTTGACAGGTAGGCGTGGTGGGTCAGATTTTAAAGAAAGTGAGAGCTTGCCCAGGTTCCCCAGCAGATGAAATACAGATTGGTCTGGGTCAGAGTTTGTGACCTTAACCACCACACTGTAATGTCAAGTGAGGAATGAAGACGAGCAGGTGGGAGATGGAGAGACCAGGAGATGGGAACTGTGATTAGGGGTGAGAGAACTTGATAGGCTCTGCCCTGTCACAGAGGACAGGCGGGAAGCCACATTTGACAGAAAGGTGGTCAAACAAAGCATTTGAAGGAGAGGACTGGCTCTTAGGAGGAGGTCAGGATTTGTTCCAAGCGTCTCTGGGAAATCTCTCTTCAGTGTCTTGTTCTCACACTTTCCACTGCAGAGCGAGGAGAGTAGCCTTTCATTGAGTCTGGATTCCCTGTTGCCCCTATCCCTACCCTGGAAATCAGAGGATGGAATATTCTCGTTCACCATCTGTGGATATGACCTCAGGGACGAGGCGGTGGGTGTGGTCCAACATAGCTAGTGGTCAGGCAGGCAGAGTTCGGTCACCATCCAGCTTCTCCAGCCAGGGCTGTAACCTCTCACCCAGGAGCAGGACTCTGAGGGAAGGACCAGCTGTGTGACTCCACTAACCCCCAGTAGCACCATGAGATGAGTGTATGTGAGGACAGACTGACCCTCCCCAGGCTAGTTCATGACCTCACTGTGGAATGTGGGAGGAAGAATACAATAAATGACCTTTCTGTCCATAGGAAGGGAACCCAGAACCCCCATTTCAAAGTAACAGGAAACACAGGACCTGTGTCCTCTTAGCCTTTGCTCTCAGAATGACCCAGAAGTTCCCCCTCAGCATTCAGGAGCATTACTACCCATCACCCTGACTTCTCTAGTTAAATCTGCTTCTCCTTGGGCATCAGCATTAAAGATAACTATTTCTAGCATGGTTTACTTACAATTGTATGGGTCCATTCTAGAAATCATAATACATAGCTTTGGATACTCATGTACTATTTTGGGGTATTCAACATCATCTCTCTTGTGTTTGCAAATGCCATATTTAAGCTCCACGAGGACTGAAAATACTGAAAATAGCTATTCAGGCTTCTCTCTCAAGCACATTTGTGATGCTTCTCTGGAAAATACTGGGAACCAAAGTGTCTGCCTAATTAGATGATGGAATGGTGTTCATGTATGGAAACACTTGTGATTTCCTGATAGTCAGCCCTTTGGGGACATGGGACAGGTAATCCAGGGCAATGTGTGGACTGGCCACTGCTCTGGGCCAACAAGTTGTTTCATACTGGGGGTGGGATGGGACCACCCTCTTGGTTTTTGTGGCTTGCTTGGGATGCTTTAGAGGCCTGCTTGGAGCAAAACAGGCAATATTTGTGTAATTGTAAACAGATCCTTTGTAGCCCAGACAATCTGTACGAGGAAAGAGTTCCTTATTATTTTACGTGGAATCGGGACCTTGCTTTCTGGCTCCTTGACTCTCCACTGAGGCTGTGGAGTGTGCACCCCTCTGTTTTGTAGACCATAAAATGATTATGAATTAGGAATATCTTCCCTCATTGGAAGCAAAGATAATGCAGTAATCCCTGTGACAGAAGGTTTTCTGCAGAGGGGATATATCTGCTATCTAACCCTGGGCACCCAGGAGAGAGAAAGGGATGCTGACTAGGTGGAGACATCCCCATATCTAAAGTTTCCCTAATTTTGATACACTTTTTAATTGAGTGCTGACTAGAAACCTTTTGGGAGAAATAATTCTAGATACCTCACACTCCTTCATACCCAAGGATCAGGAACAATGTGTGTGCTCAGATTCTATATTTGGTCTTAAATATAAAAGTGTTTCAGATGTGTCAGAGAAAACTGCTCATTGTACCTGCTGATGTCTTGGAACTGGGTGGCTAACAGGAGAACTCCCTGATTTCAAATGACTTCCTTGTGATTCACTTAGTTTCTCATGGGAGCTGAATGAAAAGGAAGAATGTTAATTGGCGGTTGTTGACTAAAACGTTACTTTGTCTAAGCCAATCTCTTGGATGACTACACCAAACTATTCCATGAAAGAGCAATTTGTGTGACCTGTCACCCCTGGATCATCCCAGGGAATGAATAAAGCCAGAGACGTGTCCTCTTCCTGTATCTAGACCGGCTGGTGGCACCTCTGCTCCTCCCATTCCACGCCAGCGTCTGGACAGTCAGGAAGGAATTCCTCACCATGTACCTTAGTGTGGATCCATCCTTCACACCCTTGGCCTCTCTGCCTTATGTAAGTGATGGTGCTAATTCTCTTAGCTTGGAAACCATTAAACATACCCCATCCTTTCTCCATGGAGGGATGCTTGTGGCCACTTTGAGTTAGGGAGGATGCCATTGTATCTGGTCTGGCAGCTTCACCTTAAAGCAGACGAGGTAGCCTTCATGATCCTGCTGATGTGGGGCCTCGTCCACACAATCTCTCACCCCACATGTGGTTAGAACACTTGCCAGGTTGTAAAAGGACATTCATGTTCAGCGCTGCCTGAGACTACAGACCCTGAGCATCCAAAAGTTGTGTAAATCCTGGAAGCAAGATCTGGTCTGTTGCATGGTTTTCTTTCAGGGCTCTACAGCCACCACATCATCGTGCTGGCTCATCTCTTTTGTCTCTGGTCCCTTCTCCGTGTCCTCCCAGTGCCCTACTCAGGACTGTTTTAGGCAGAAAGAGCACTTTTTAGATTTCTGAAGAGTGTAATCCTCTATCGGTGAGCAATGTGTGTGCTGTTTACGTGTTGATTGAAGTCTATGGGTTTAGACAACAGAGAACATATTCTCCCTTTCCTTTTGTAGTCCACAGACTTGAACCACCAGCCTTGCATTTGCTACGTGCTCTACACTTGAGCTGTCGTGCCCAGAGCATCCACTTTTGTATGGACGAGTAAGACCATACTTAATGATACTTACATAAAACATTCCATATGCTCAGATATAGCATATGGAATACTTAGTGATCAAAAGGAAGGGGTATCTTGTTCTAAGGAGCGGCATATAAGTACACACTAAGTGGCAAGCTATTTAAGGTTCTAGTGTTGGTGGAACAATTCACAGACAACAAAAACCACCCATTTGCAGAGTGACTGTTACCCACAGTTCTTTTAGCAGCTTTGTGAGGTAAATACTTGCACAACCTCACAGAATTCAGGAATCCCTGCGAGTCCTGTGACTATAGGTTGCTGGGATGAGATGACCAAGTATCCCAGTTCAAATCTGAGGTGGCTCTCAAAATAGGGAGCTTTCAGAGCGGAAATTGGGAAAATCCCAAGCAAACCAGGGTGAATGGGCCACACCCTGGATAGGACCTTCACAGAAGCCCGGAAGCCAGGTTTCCAAGGGTTACCCACACCCTGCCCCCATCCTGCCTCTTTCTGATGAATTCTGTTGTAAGTTTCACTTTGCCATGGGCGAGCCTCAACTTTTTCCCAAAGCAAACAGTGGAGAGCTGGGTTAAGCCATTGATGCTCAGGCAGGCATGGGAACACCCTGGTGATAAAACTTCCCTTATTCTCTTTTTAGTTACATAGATCTGAGCATATGGAATGTTTTATGTAAGTCAGTTTACAGCCATTATTTCTTCCCCTGGGGTTGTGATGTCTTGAGTTCTTTCTCTTGTTTCCCCTACCTTAAAAGCCCCAATTCCTGAATCTAGTGTTTTCACTTTATCCCCAAGGAGGGGAACCACTATAAAGTCACTCTGGGCTGGAGAGTTGCACCACAGCCGGCAGAAATGCTCTTGTATGCGATGCGTGACTTTAATCTCCTGGTTTATATGACTAAGTGTGTAGAAAATTTAAGGATTTCTCTAAGATCCCTGAAGGAGGAGGGCCAAAGTGCTGCTCTCTTCTCTAAAAGAGGTTCAGTCCCAAGTGCTGAGCTTTGAGTTGGGAGAGAATTTTTTCTTTCAGAGAAGGCCTGGCTGCAGTGAACTCCCCCCCACCCTGCCCCACATAGATCCAGGCTTTGCCTGTATTCCATCAGCTGGGCTGCCATAGCTCACGAGCCAACTCTTTGCTTTTAGAAAGAATTAACCATGGGGAAGTTCTTCCATACATTGTGCTGTCATTTCTCCCTCTGCAACTTCCACACCCCTCTTCTCTGAAGCAACCAGAATATCTCTCTCATTCAGATATACAAAGTCCACGTGAAAGGTCCCACCTGGTTCTTTACTTAGTTTTTTAATGAAGGTGGTTTTCGTGTGTGTGTGTGTGTGTGTGTGTGTGTGTGTGTGTGTGTGTGTGTTTATAATATCTCCTTAGTATAAAGTTAAGGAGAGTAATGGGACTACTTATTAGAAACAAACAGAAACATTGAGCAGGAGGCATCAGAATCCAGTTCTCTTCTGCACAAAGGAAGTTCACAGATGCAAAATCTACTCATGATCAAAGCCATTCTGCTAGTGACACTGGGTTTCTCTTGTGTTAAAGAGAAAGCAGACGAAAGAGGGTTGCTAGGAGCTTTTATTTCAACTTAGCTGCAGATATCTAGCAGCTCCTTGCTTTTCTTATGGTACATATGTGTGATATAGGAAGTTTATAACATGGGACCCATGATGTCACTGTGACTCAGCATGTTGCAGTCATCTCATACTTTTGTGCAACCCATTATTGCATATGTATCATGACATGCTCATGCACTGAAGGGGCTAGCCATTGCTAAAGCCCTAGCTGTTATCTGTTAGAGCAGGATACACTTAGTTTTGCATGTGGTATGCTCATAGCTACTTGCAAGCATGTGTACACGTGTGTATGTATACATGTATGTGTATATTTGTATAATTCTGAGTGCTTTCCTTATCTTTTTTTATTTATGCTTTTTAGAATGCTCCAAGGTAAACATTTTTCTGAATTTATTCTTTATTCTCAAATATTATATAGTCTTTTATTTTGGAGACAGGGTCTTTACAGCCCTGGTTGGTTGCAAACTCACAGAAAGTCAATTGTCTGTGTCCCGCCCCCTCCAAGTGCTAGGATTAAAGGGTATACCATCATGGCTGGCTTATTCTTCAGTTTTGATCATTAAAATACCTCCCTACTTGTTCTGTTGTCTTGGATGCATGATCTCACTATGTTACTTCACACGTGGTACCTTTCTACCCTAGCCTCTCAAGTCCTGACAGGTGAGCAACCACATACCTGTACTCCAATAATATAAAAATTGTCAATAACAGAGAAATATCACTACTAGAAGAGGCGAATCCATGGGAATGGCTTTCCTACAACATTGAGGTTTTCTTATGAAAATGTTTTTGATGTTTTAGTTTCTTAATGAGATAAAGTTTAAGAGGTACCATCAAACATGGGCTTGGTGTAGAGATGCTCACTCTTTAAAACACCTGAAAACCTCAGTATTTCTGATAGGATCCTCCAGTAATGTGCGGGGTGGCTTAGTTAGTTCCAAGAGTTTCACAACAGTGGGGCAAACTGCATGGCTGGGGCACTAGTGAAAGGAACGGCTATGGTGGCCCACATTTTCATGCCTGATGGATCCAAACTTTTAAGTTGTCATTGAAAATACTTAAACGTGATTCATTTAAGGACAGATCAAGTTAAGCATCTTTAGAACACTTAAGAGATGGCTCAGAGGTTAAGAACACTGGCTACTCTTCCAGAGGTTCTGAGTTCAATTCCCAGCAACCACAGGGTGGCTTGTGGCTCTCTGTAATGGAATCTGAAGTGCTGTTATGGTGTGCAGAAAAACACATTGACAGAGCACTCATATACATAAGTTAATAAATCTTAAAAAAAGACAATGTAATTTAAAAAGCATGATCAATCCTGTGGTGTCTTGGAGTCACCCATAGCCGTTGGCTCTTACTGTCTTTCTGCTCCTTCTTCCATAGAGACCCTCAAGCCTTGAGGGAAGGGTTTCGATGAACACATCCCATTTAGGGCTGAGTGACTCAAAACCTGCCACTCTTTGCACACTGTCTGGTCATAGATCTTTTTGTTACTTGCCATCCACTATAAGAAGAAGCTTTTCTGATGTGTGGGTATAGCAGAATTGTGTTAGTAGCCACTTTATTGCTATGTTCCTTCAGCATAATAATAAGTATTATGTTTTTTCCCATAGGCCCATGAACTGTCTAGTTTCAGGTTCTTGGCCACTTTTAGCAGTGTCAAGTATGGGTTTCAGAATGCAGAGTGAGCCTTAAATGTAATAATAATAATAAAAAAACCATGGTTGGTTACTACCATAACATTTGTGCCACTATTACCCGCGAATGTCTTGCAGCCAGGTCACAGTTGTAGATCACAGGGTTCGTAGCTGGGGCTGATGGTTATCTTTTTCCTCTAGCGGTATGCAGTGTACCTTCCCGTGAATGCTACTCAGTAGGGGTGAAGGTTCTAGTAGGGCACCAGTTCAATGACACGATACGGCTTTAGCATCGGGTTGTGGAGAGCAACCATTAGCCTTGGCATTAGCCTGTGATGTTTGGGGTGAGGGTGGGTGTCAGTGTGTATATAAATTCAAAGAGACTGTGGAAGCGTGCACAAGACCTATGCAGGCTCAGGTCAGACAGGGGTCCCAGGGCCAAGAGGGAGAGTCGGACACAGGTCCTGTCCCCAACCAAGAAGCTACCTGTAACTGACTCTAGTTGGCAGAGGGAAAGTTAATTTTCTCCGGTGAAGAGTCACTGGGTACATATCAACCATACTCCAGGGCTGGTCCCATACCCAGAAGTAGGTTTCTAACATAAAATGAATTCCATGTTTTGTTTTTATAGACTTTTTTGTTTCCTTTTGGCATTTTTGTGCATTTGTTATTGTTCTTGTATTTATTTTCTTTCTATTTTCATTTCTGTTTTTTTTTTGTTTGTTTGTTTTGTGATTGTGGGGGAGCAGGAGGGAGAGAGCATGAAGTTGGGTAGGGAGGCGGAGAGGATCTGGAAGGAGCTGGGAGGCTGGGAAACTTGATGGGAATATACCATTTAAAAATTAAAAGTAATGGTGGGTGGAGAAAAGCTACAATCTTTCGATACAATGTAAAATATTTAGCCCACCAGACAACACAACTTGAACCTCACATCTTCAGCTACGTTTAGATTGGAGAGTGTATTACTTTGCTGTGGCTGCCTAAATAAACTGCTGCCGGCTGGGTGGTTTTGTAGAAATTTATCTTCTCAGGATCCAGAGACTGGAAGTGAAAACGAAGGCGTCGTCGGGGATAGGTTCCTCTGTAGCTGCTTCTTTGTCTGCAGGTGGCTGTTTCTCTTGTGTCTGTGTGGTCCTCTCT